GAAACTCATACGAAACCAACAGAGAACCATCACATGACTGTTGCTTGTATATTGCATCAGAGCTGGTCTACAACAAGACTCTTTGGTATTTAGAGACCTGAGTATCATGCCAAATATGGTCACTCTCTGAGGTGAACTGTGGATATGAATATTTGTGCGCGATTTCTTCAGGTCAACTTTACACGCAGTGGTGGATATGGTTCAGAACAACAGACAGAAGATCAGAGCTGAAACGATTAGCTGACTGACAGAAAAATTTATCTGCAACTTTTTGATGGTTTCCTTTTCAATTACTACAATTACTTTTTCCTTAAATGTGAGGATTTTCTGCTTCTTTCAGTTTTATATTATTGTAAATATAATGTATTTGGGTTTCGGACTGTTGATTGAACAAAACAAGAGCTCTGGTAATCTGCAGCCCAAAAGACAATAACAATACTGCTGAAACAATTAGTCAATTAATCTATTAGTCATTTGGTTAAAAACAACAGTTTTAATACAAGTATATAAGTTATAAGTTATACCAAAAATTCTATGGTTCCAGCTTGTGAGGATTTGCTTGCTTTTAAATTGTATATCTTTGACAGTGTACTGGACAAACAGTATCTTGCTGAATCATGCCTGAATATCGTACACAAAAATGCAGAACCAAGCAGGTATTCTCTTCTATTAATTCTTAATAGCTGTTGGTAACCATCAATAGAGGTGCTAGAGTGGTCGACTTGCGGTCCTTCCCAGTTCTCTGTGTAAGCACTTATAACCAGACAAGTGCTCTAACGGCTCTGGTAAATACAGCTATGTAATGCTGACTGTGTTTGGGTGTGTGTACGTACATACATCCGGTATAACTGCACCTTACAAAGACCCTGATTGGCCAAACACTACTATTGGACATCATGCATTGGAAGACAGCTATGGCTTTGGGTGTGTGTGTGTGTGGCTGTTCAGAGGTAATGTAATGAAGGCCATGGCTCCATTAGGACCCCCTTCCTGCAGAAGCCCATCATACCACTCCCAGTGGAGAACCGACCGAGACAGACAGATAGGCAGGCAGACACAGAAAAGCAGTGGAGACACAGACAGAGAGATGGAAATGTCAAAGGCTGCAGTGAAATCTGACCTCCTGGCACATCAGTATCTCAGTGTAGAGACCAGTGGTGGGGAGGAGTGTGGGGTAGACAGAGTGAAGGGAGGGGGGGAGGTATATTGGAGGGAAATGGGAGATAAACAGGAATGACAGCCAAGAAGACAAGGAGAAAACTCAAAGAGTCAAACCCCTATTTTAAGGCAGTGAGAAGAAGTAAGGCTCTGGAGGAGAAAAGAAGAAGAAAAAGTGGGGAAGGAATGTGGGCATGGAAGAGACGTAATACGAGGGGAAAGAGGAGATGATACAGTAAGTTCACTCGAAAGGGGATCTTTAAAGCTGAGCAAGAAGTAGGTCAAGTGTAGTCATAAACAAAAGTCATCTCTAATATAAGGCCAGAACATTTAAAAATTGGGGATAACTAATTCCTTATCTAATCTTAAATGCTGCAGTATTCAAACTTATCTCTGAGAGCTTATATCTAAAAGGTGGCCAGTAAGTCCCAGCTGAGGCCTGGGGGTTCTAAAATTTCAATTATCAATATCAGACTGCAGTGGACATAAAATCCAGTCCTTGAATTGATCTTTGCAAACTGAGCTCTTAAGTATCCACTATCCAACCAAAAAGGGAAGTGGACTAGCACAGGCAGAGGGTTGACAAATTATGACGCAGTCTCTGTATTGTTCAGACAGAGAAGAAATCAAACTGCGTGAAGCAATCAGCCAACACCAGTTCAGAACAGCGAGTAAATGCCCAGTGACACAGGTTTGGTGAGCACAGAGACATGGACACACAGCCACTTGGCTAGGGAGAAGCTATTTTTCTCCAGGACAATCAGAGATGGGCGGTATTTTTAGACCTGCGATTAAGAGCTTCACATCACACTGTCATTTTCTCTTTTTGTCTCACGTACGTAGATGTGTTATTCCTGTCGTGAGCTCTGTCTCAACAATAAGTTTTATTAGTTATATTTCACTGGAAGTTTCCCTTACCTGCCAGTTCATGTTCTGCATCTCTAACACTTTTTCTCTATCACAGGAGCTCCACCAGCTTAAAGAGTCAGTTCCCCAATATCACAGAAAACATACTTTTCCACTTAACCTCTACTGGCACTGAGCCCTGTATATAGTTATTTTTAGACATTATAGGGATTATACAATAAAATACTATATAATGGAGTTGATTGCAAACTTTATATTAGAAACAATGTCCTATTAACTCTAGGTAACTTGGAGACATTGCTGTAAACAATTTTCACTTGAAGGTATTGTAAGTAAAAACTATCCACTGCAAGGTCTATAAAACCAGCTTATTGTTTCTGGAAAGACATGTTCTATTGTGTTCAACAAAAGAAACCAAAACTATCTACAGGGCTAGATGCAATTAAATACTTGGAAGAAGGTAGAATTTAATCGTAGCTTTCGGAGTGCAATAGCCATTATTTTAAAATGCACAATAATGTAAGCTAAGCAATCAAAATGTGCCGTTAAAGCTCTGTTAATCAATACATTTATTAACAATAAATGAAATGACTGCACGTAATGTGAAATGGGTGCAGTGATGAACCCACAGAGAATTCCCACCCAGCTCTGGAGCTCTTTAAAGCTTTCTCGCTCTCTTGGCTCATTGCTGTGTTTTTTAATGCACGCAAATTTACTTCCGTCTCCCTGCTTTCATGAACCCAAATTCTAACAGCAGCATGGCGTGTTTTCAGCAAAAAGAGCTCTGATAAAACCACTGTACCTATTAAGGAGGACTATTTATCATTCTTATGGGTACACTGTAAATGGTACATTCAGCTCTCATAACTTCCAGCATAGCCACACCCAGCTTCAACTCGGTGGGTGTGTTGGGCCTTTAAACAACAGTATACCGTTGTTTACTGAGTGCTACTTCTATCATTTTTTTATTTTATTTTTGTCCTTACTAACGCGAAGTCCTACTCTTGGTCAGGGTGTAGACAAAGAACACAGACAGACCAACCAGTAGGGTTGATGCCACGACAAGGACATGATCATTCAATCACTGCCACTTGTGATCGATCAATAGAGCTAAGTGCTGCTGGGGACTCAACATGGATCTCTGCAGTGGTAAACTATTCTTCCCCTGCACCACCCAGGTGCTTCTGATAATGTGTGCTACCATAACAAATGTTGACCTTCAACTATCCAAAACTACTTTAAGGTGGATTTACTTCTATGTGCCATTTCAAGTCCAAAAATGAACCTCTTTCTGACTTAGGTGAAGTGACCCTCACACAGCCTATTTTAGCTGCCGAGAGAATCTTCGATGGAGGATGAGAGAAGTAAAAACAACAAGAGCAAACGCCTTCATTTAGGATGTAAAGATGTAAATAGGATGACTTCAAGTAAAAGTTAAAACTGTGCTTCTATATCTCAAAAGCTGCTTAGGACAAGATCACAACTGAGGTGACATGCTTATCCAAGTTCAGTTGATGAGCTGATGTAATATACTGGTATGATACTGTAAAATCTGCAGACATGTGGGTACAGAGAGTAGTTGTAGATTAAGGTAACAGTTGTGTGCAAAGATTAGCTTTCGGTGGGACTTCACGCCTAAATGTTTAACAGAACAGACTTTTGGGGGAAATTAAGGAGAAGTCTCTTTTGTACTTTCATTATAGAGCACATCAAGATAAACAGACACACAGGCACATGTTTAGCTCAAGTTTAGATTTTTCAATGCTGATAAAAACAAAAGCTCCTGATTGCATCCAAGTGTGTGAGCTCAATGGCCCCACCCTAAAAGAAGAGACTAAAGTGTGTGTATGCATGTGTGTGTGTGTGTGTGTGTGTGTGTGTAGCACTACAGTCCATTACTGAAATCACATTAGCCTGAGAGAGTGCACTGAGACAGGAAACAGCCTTCTACCATCTCCTGACTCACTTTCACTGAATACACCAACACACACTACATGATCAAATCTAGAAGGTAACACTTCAAGTTCATTTTTTTTGTTTATGCCACACATTTATGGGAACAGACTCATAGATATGAATGAGCTGACTGTACAGATTTACTCCTACTCAGCTTGTGCACAGCATTCTATCAATTTATTAAAACGGACCAAGGTCTTAGAGATAAATACACGATGACGTTGTTTTGTTGAGAGGAGAGGAGAGGAGAGGAGAGGAGAGGCTGCATAGTGTAGTAATATCAGAATTTCAGTCCACTCAAGGACAGAAAGACTTACTGGCAAACCAGCCCAGCCCAAGAGTGGCTTAAGAGAGCATACAGTACACTCAAAGCACACACACTCTTTACCAACCAATGCATTACGCTGAAACAGAACCACAAGCAATAAGACTTTACATACAGTGTGTGTGTGTGGTGTGTGTGTGTGTGTGAATATGTGAACTTTGCTGGTCTCACACTGCTTCTAAACTACCAATGTCCCACACAGACCTTAACAGCGCTGGATAAACTACTTCCATGTTAGAAGTCACAGTCAGAGACGCTCACCCTCGGGCCAGTAAAGCATAATATGGTCCATGTAAACAGTAAAGCTCCAGTGGTGTAGGTGAAGTTGTAAACATCCCTCACTGCAGCCTGTAGTAACTAGAGAAGTCTAGTGCAAGTCTGTTGGTGTTTATTTTGACGGCCACTGGCACAATTGGCCTATCTACATTGGGTATTATCACATCCTCCCTAAGTCTCTTATCAAAACAGATTGCATTCTCTCTGCAGATAATCTTGCTCCTATTAGCAGGTAATCTGAACACCATTTTAACACAAAATAATCTGTCAGATCACCGATGTGCTGATGCACGGCAACGCCTTTTGACTGCTCCCCCCCCAACCTCTAAACAGCGCACATCAGCCGCGGTTTGGGCTGCCCGTTACACGGCTGACTGGGCCAGTCAATGCGGAGAGCGGGCTGCGGACAGACACCCACCTGCCGTATACGGTTCTGGTGCAGCGGTGGTGGAGGTCCACCCTCGGGGGACGTGTTGCTCGAAGAGGCGATTTTCAAGTCAGAGTCGGAGGCGCAGCCGGCCCTGGACAGCCTTCCTTCGGGGCTACTTGACATTCTGGCTGGCTGCAAGCTGGAGGCGACGCGGTCAGTGAGGGGTCCGTCTGCCGGTGCAAGGTGGATCTCTGTGCGGGCCTCAGAATCCAGAAGGCTCGGCGGGGCCCGGGATCATTCTGCAGCGTCGGAGACAGTCTGTTATTAAACGTGACTCAATATAAACACAGTGGTTCGGAGATTGTCAAACCAAAACGAGCGCTCCCTCCGGTCGGGGATGCTCCCGGTGTGTTGCTGTATATGCCAGCCTGCCTGCGTGTGTGTGTGTGTGGTATGCTTGCTGGAGATGTGGACGCGCCTAAGATGCGCTTCCCCGAAACTCCGCAGGATCAATGCTGCCTTCAAGTACAGTCGGAAGATTCGCAAACGCACCTTGATTAGGATGACCAAGTGTACATTTTCTGACTATCCAGTTGCTGAAATACGATTTTAGAGGGCGGGGGGCAAAGTGACGTAGACCATGTTATGATTGGTTGAAAGTGACTACAGTAACAGCATGCCTATTTTATACAGTCTGCGTTTGTTTGTTTTTTAACACAGGCCTAATACACCACTTAAAACAGTAATTACTCCTCTGCCACAGCGGAACTCACCTTGTACCATCACTTAGGAAGACAGCTCTCCTCCACTTTACCTCTATAATAAATAAACAGATATCTAACAGAACATTTTATGACTTGATCATTCCCAACCAATGGGACGCGAATGCACCGTCAAACAGTAGTGTGCTTCCTATTTAGCTTTTTGCACCCACCCCCCCTCCTCCTCGGTGCTTCTGCAGCAGCAGATTCAGACGCTGTGGGCCATGATGTCCCATGATTCAGTGAAAATTGTAAATACTGTTTACACAAACATGAAATCATCGAAGCTCAGGCACACTGGGTTGGGCTTATACATAATGTAATATCCCTTTTTTCGTATTCTTACGCCCCCCGCACACACACACACACATTGGCCTGTGTGTCTTCACTGAGCTACAAATTTAATAGAGGTTGACAGGGCAAAATCAATAACAATGTCTTTGAGACATTTAAAAACCAGGCAGGACTGGAGCAGAGGAGGGCGAAGCGGCCAGTAGGTGTAAGAAATCATGATAAACAGACATAAAGTTGTCACTGTTTAGAGCCTTCAGGGTGAGGCTGACAGTGGATCCAATTGTTCAAAGTCAGATATTATTATTTTTTTAGTAAAACATGAAAATATGGGAATAAGGGTTGACCAGTGGTGCTGCAAACGTTAGTTGTTGAATAAATAATTATATTTTTTTATTCAAAGACTTAAATAACCTGTGTTAAAGAGATGTAATTAGGTACATTTGGATTCACGGCTGCAGAAACTTTGGTCAGTGTTTAGTTTTAGAGGAAGATTTATGGGAAAAAAAACACAGGTTTAATGAGTAGTAGTGTTACGGCTAGAGAAATAGATAAAGGCAATTTCACAGTAGTTGGCCCCATCAGCAATGACCACTTTGGGCCTTCTGCTGCTGTAATGGCTTGATTTTGGAGTTGTAATAGGTCTGGTGTAAGACTGCCCAATCTTTATCAGTAAGCGTCTGAAACCCCACGTTGTTTTCTGTAGTTTAATTCCTCTTGTATTGTTCCTATTTTTATTTGTATTTTTATT